AAGACCGCGAGACGATGGTGACAAGAACTGGAAGGAGCGTTCGGCCATGCTCTGGGCTGGGAGGTAACGCGGGTGGCACAGATCTTGGGGCTGAAACACTAATGGTAATTTGCAGGCCGGGGAGGGGCGGAGAGAACTTCCCAAAACTCCCACCACGGCTCAGGCTGCCTCCCGGGACTGACAGGAAGGGAGCCGACAGGTGACTGGCCGCAGGTTGAGCACATCCCCTTTCCACGTGTTTGCAAAGCCCACGTAATTCTTTCTCCCTCTTCCTTTGTTTTTGAAGACAAGCGTGAAAGCCTGTCCGGGCTCCTGAGCACCCAGGGGGCAGCCCCGGGAGCCGGGCCCTCAGAGCCAGGCGGCTGCTGGGAGGGGCGGCCCCCACGGCCGTCCTGTGTGTTGCGTGGGCTTCCTGTGGCCCCAGCCCTGCACGTCAGAGAAAGACGGAACCGCTGTGATAGGGTCTAGGTTCTGTCACACTGTGTACTTGCCGTTCACTAGTTATCACATGGGGCTCACAGAAGGTACTGTGGTCAAAGACAGTGAGGCTCCGAGGGGCCTGGGCAGTGGCAGTCCAGACACTGGGACACCCTGCATAGGCTGGGCACAGGGCTGAGCACGAGGGTTAGGCACGAGGGTTGGGCATGAGGCTGGGCACAGGGCTGGGCATGAGGGCTGGGCATGAGGCTGGGCATGAGTCTGGGCACCAGGGCTGGGCATGAGGCTGGGCACAGGGCAGGGCATGAGGCTGGGCACCAGGGCTGGGCATGAGTCTGGGCTCCAGGGCTGGGCATAAGGGTTGGGCACAGGGATGGGCACCAGGGCTGGGCATGAGGCTGGGCATGAGGCTGGGCACGAGGCTGGGCACCAGGGCTGCTCTGGCGGATGGAAGGGGCCACTCCGATCACGCGGGAACCTGGGCCCGAGTGCCCGCCCTCCTGCACCACTAGAACCCCCTCGGAGAGGGCCTGGCTGCCTCCCAGCCTCTCTGGTTTCAAGCTCGAGACTGACAGTCCCTCAGGAAAGGTCTGTGGGCAGCGGGAGAAGGACCCGCGCGTCCCCCGGGAGCCCCTGCACAGAACCCGCCCCTCGCGGAGTGGCCGCCACGGGCCTCGAGGACCGCATGCGCGTGGCTGCTTTTTCAAGAGACTTTGCCGCCGTCGTTTCAATTTGAAAGTTTATTTTTCCATCGATGGTTACACATCAGAACAGCACAGAGAACCCACGGTTCTTTTTTTTTTTTTTTTGCACATTCATTTTCCCTCAAACAAAAGTGAACTTAAAAAAAAAAATTTGCAACCATGCCATTAGCTCTTTATAAAAGTGGATAAAAAGTAGTTTGTTTTAAAGTCTAAAATAAAGGAGAAAGAAGCATTTTTGTCTACAGTATTGAGCAAACATAAGAAAACGTTCTTAGAAGCACACATAAAATTGAAAAAAGTTATCGTATTAACAATATTTTATAATGAAGCTTAAAACCTATTTACATACATAAATACAATGAACTTTGTTGATGCAACTCTCCTGGAAGGAAAAAGAAACCCCACGGCCAGCCTCATGGGTCCTGACCTGGCTGAAGGGAGAGGAAAAAGGCCAGAGAGACAAACAGAAAACCCCGAACAGTGCGCACTGCAGGTGAACGCACAGGCGTCTGTTCAGATGTCACAGCTGTTTTCTGAGACGAAGGTTAGACTGACGTTCGCTGTGTAACAGACCCCAAACGTGTCACCCCCCGAAACAAAAACCACCCAAACGGAGAACCACTGGGCGGGGTGTCCCACGGAAACAGGTACGGACAGAAACCGCAATGGGAACTGCAGGGCTTGGAGTGAGACCACGCGTTTCCCGCCCAGAGAGCCGTTCCGTCCGTGGGCCCAGCCCGGGCAGCTTCAGCTCTGACTGTACCCGGCCTGGCAGGCTCCGGCCGGGGCCGCGGGCACCCGAGCGGGAAGAAGCCCACTCGCGGCTCCTCCAGTTTGGACTCCTGGTGTTGGGTGGGGTGTATTTCCCACACAGAAGGAGGGGGAGAGGGGGAGAGACAGTGGGAGATGTTACAGGGGCAAAGAGGGAGAGAACTGTATTATCGATAGTGAGAAAAAGAAAAAACTGCAGTGAAACGTGTCCATGTCTTAATTATAAATAAGATGTAGCGATGGCTTAGCTCGTTTTTCTTCTCCGGCACCAAGGCTCCCGGAGGCGCCCGGCTTTGCCATCACTGGCTGTTGGCCTCCCTGCTGAAAGGCCACCTTAATGTACCGGCCGGCCGAACGCAGTCCCTCAGGGAAAGTCACTAGGTGTGCCCTCTACCTCCCAAACAGCTGACCTCAGATTCACTTTTTCTGAAACAATTAAACACCGAATATGCTGGAAAGGGTCTCCGGATGGCCAAACCCGCGGGCCTGCGGGACAGCGAGCAGCCCTGCTCACGCGTGGCCTCAGACCGAAGGCTCACGCAACAGGTGACCTGATTCCGGTGCAGGACCCTCGGCTGATTTCCAGCTGGAATATCATCAGGGACCAGAATTGAACAACAACAAAAATTTTTTTCCTTCATTTTCCCCAGCATTTTGTCAGGGTAGATGTGGCCACAGGTGCTGGAAAGAGCATTTAAATTCAATGTGGGGTAAACGGGCTGAGGGTTCTTTTCAGAAATAGACATTTTAAACGGGCTGACAGGTAATTTTCCCGCCAAAAAAATAAAAATAAAGCAATCTAGAATAAACAGGGAAATGAATGCCGGAGGAGGGAGGATTGTGTCTAAAATGAACATGGACCTCGCCTGGGTTTCCCCGAGCTCTGCTTAGCCCTTTTCTAGAGAATCTTGACCTCACAAGACAGACTCCTTCCTCTTCCCCTCTCACCAAAGTGCTACTGCGTTTGCGTCAAACAGCATACCCAGGGCGGGCAACAGTCGGGGTACAGCCGCTCGCATGGCAAATAATACAATAATGAATAAATAACAATACAAGAATAAACTCTGTGTTTTGCATATTCACAACTGTAAACCCACGTTCCCCACCCCTGGATACAGGAGAAAACTCAAAAACAAGTTGTTTTAAATAAACTCAGCTGTCGTTGCTGCCTGCAGCCGAAGATCTTCCTAACGCGAATCCTTACATTTACAGAATAAAAACCAAACACTGTTCTCAAGTCCTGCTCTCACACGCTCTTCCGAGCTGACCCGAAGTCGTTCCCAGGAACTGAAGAGGTACATGAAACGGCCCCCGGCCATTCTGAGCGCACGCACGTCGAAGTCAGCAGTTCGTATGCATGGGCTGCAGTATTTACGCGCTCTGACCGGATCCTCCAGTCAAAACAGTGCCATCAGTTTACAGTGACATCGGCTGTGCTTGACGTGTAGCCATGGGCAGCAGTGGTGACACAGATCTTTCCGCTCACAGGACGTGCAGGTCAAAGTGCACCCTCCCTCCCTCCCCAGGGGCGGGTCTCAGCCTGGGGACAGCGACACGAAGGTGGGTGGTTAGTGAGCAGCACGGGGTGGGGTCCTGCACAGCTGGGACCGATGCTGTCCTGCGGGACTCCAGACAGAGGGAGACTGGCTCGCGCAGGCTGGCTGCTGGGCCCATCCTGGCCGGGGACCTGCAGCGGGCAAAGGCAAAGGCACCCGGCCCAGTCCCTTCCACCCCCGGCCTCGGGGGACAGCCACACGTTTTGTTCTGTGTAAACGAGCAGGTACGGCAAACGAGGAGCATTTTCTTAAAGCTAAAAGCCACTACATTCTGGATTCGGCAGATCTCCTTCCCACCCCAGAACCCAGCATCGCAAGAACCCCTGAATTCACGGATTTGGCTCCCATGTGGATCCTGCTCCCCCACATGGCTGACTTTGGATTTGTTCTGAAATTACCAAGAGGCACGCAGTGAGCGGATCCCGAGGCCGACAGGAAATCCTCGCCAGAGGGGCCGTCGCTGGCCTCTCCCGAGCCCTCTGGAGCCAGGCCTGACCTCTGCTTCGAGGGCGGGAGTCAGGCAGCAGAGCCTTTGTGGGGCTCGGCAGAGCACCCCCTGCCTCGGGTCTCTGGACGGACCCTCGGGATCTGAAAAGGCTATTAAAACATTGCTGCATTAGCTACCAACTCGTTTGATTAACATTAAAGGAAGTTTAATGTAAACAATATGTAGATAACCAAGTGATCACATTACCCATCCTTTCTTCCCAGCCTTCTTCAATGTGATACATTTAACTTTGGCTACTATAAAAAAAAATGTAGTACTTGATATTCTTCTTCTTAATATAAGTACATTTAAATAATAAAAAAGTATCAACACATAACTGTCTATACATCAAGATACATAAATATCTAGGGATTCCTCGTGGGAATACAGTAGTTGAAAATGACCCAAAGCTGTAGCTGTTTCTTAAAAAAACAAAAACACACAACTACACAAAAGTCCAAAAGAAAAGTTAAATAAAACTTACAAGAAAAGGAATCATATTTTTTTTCAATTGTCATAGCAAGAAAGAAGCAAGCTCAAATTTTTATATATATGTATATAAAAATAAAACCACCCCAAATGCAAATACGCATTTTGCAATGTATAAGGTGCTGGAAAAGAACATGAAAAATACCAATTCGATGCCAAACAGGATGAGTTGCATCCCCCAACCCTGAACCAAACTTCCATACTCTTTGGAATAAACAATTTGGTTAAAAAGTGAAGTCAGGGTATAAAATCTTTCTTTTATTCACAGCATTGCTAATTCAGAAGCATTCACAGTTTTCCTCTGGAATCTTCCTGTTCGCCTCCCAGGGCCACATGGCCGGACCGTCACACTGCAGACGGCGGGCTCCGATGGCGCTGGAGGCGGGCGCGATGGCGATGGCGATGGCCCGGCCGGTCCCGCTGGTGCCAGGGGCGGGGGGCCCGGCCGGTCCAGCTGGTGCCAGGGGCGCGGGGGCCCGGCCGGTCCAGCTGGTGCCAGGGGCGTGGAGTCCTGGCCGGTCCAGCTGGTGCCGGTGGCGGCCCGGCGAGGCGGGCTCAGTAGGGCCGCCACACGGCCTCCTCCAGGCGCGCGGCGGGCATGGTGGGCGAGTTGCTGTGGCTGCCCTCGGCCTCGCCCGCGTCGCTGGGCGTGGGCAGGCTGGGGTGCAGCAGCGCGGCGCCCGTGGACGGGTTGTTCCAGGGCCGGCCAGGATTCGCGGCCGGCGAGCGCTCCCCCCCCATGGAGAACCTGGTAGGGAGCCCGCGGGCCGCGCCGTAGTACCAGGTGGTAGGAAGGCGAGCCCGCCTGGAAAGGGGCCCCCCCTCCCCTTGCGAGGGAGCCCGGGTAGGGCGGCCGGCAGGTACGTGTTGGTAGCGCGTGGCCGAGCCCATGGCCGACATGCCGATGCCGATGCCCGAGGTGACGGGCGTCGGGGAGTAGGTGAAGGCGCCCGGGTAGTGCATGCGCGGGTCCGAGATGGAGGGCAGCGCCGGGAACTGGCGCGGGTCGCCGAAGGCCGTCAGCTCGGGGGCCGCTGCGGGCGGGAAAGCATCATGGTGAGAGGGGAGCTCAGGGGGGCCCCGCCCTCGCTGCCAGCCCCCCGCAGGACCATTACCCAGAATGCCCCTGCCCAGGAAGGTAGGGGACTACCCAGAATGCTGCTGCACAGGGAGGTGGGGGACTACCCAGAATGCCGCTGTCCAGGGAGGTGGGGGACTACCCAGAATGCCGCTGTCCAGGGAGGTGGGGGACTACCCAGAATGCTGCTGCACAGGGAGGTGGAGGACTACCCAGAATGCCGCTGCCCAGGAAGGTGGGGGACTACCCAGAATGCTGCTGTCCAGGGTGATGGGGGACTACCCAGAGTGCTACTGCCCGGGAAGTCGGAGGATAACCCAGAATGCTGCTGCTGGGGGCAGTGCACACTAGCCAGAATACTGCTGCTCAGGAAGCTGGAAGACTCCCAGAATGCTGCTGCTCAGGAAGCTAGGAGAGTACCCAGAATGCTACTGTCCAGGAAGCTGAAAAATTACCCAGCATGCTGCTGCTCTGGGAGATGGGGACTTCCCAGAATGCTACTGCCCAGGAAGCTAGGAGAGTACCCAGAATGCTACTGTCCAGGAAGCTAGGAGAGTACCCAGAATGCTACTGCCCAGGAAGCTGGAAGACTACCCAGAATGCTGCTGCCCAGGAAGCTGAAAAATTACCCAGCATGCTGCTGCTCTGGGAGATGGGACTTCCCGGAATGCTACTGCCCAGGAAGCTAGGAGAGTACCCAGAATGCTGCTGCCCAGGGAGATAGTATGATAATATATAGTAAAAGAAGAGAATATATGCTACCAAGTAACATAAAACGCTAATATAATATGCTATCATGTAGTATAACAATAGAGATCTAATATGGGTACAATATGTAGAGTATAGACATGACATAGGGTGTGTGTAGTACAGATATAATAACTGGTATCATCCCGGGTTGGCAAACTACAGCCCAGGGGTCAAATCCAGCCGTGCCGTTTTCGGGTCCCACAAGCTAAGAATGAGCATTATTATATTTTTAAGTGGTTGAAAAAGAAGTCAAAGGAAGACTGTGTCCTGTAATGAAATTTATGTAAGATTCAAATTTCAGGGTCAATGCATAAAGTTTTATTGGCATCAGCCTCATTCCTTTATGCGTTGTCTCTGCCTGCTTTTGAGCTACCTCTGCAGCGTTGAGGGTCATGACTTAGACCGCAGGGCCCTGAAATACTAAAATATTTAGTTTCTGGCTCTTTACAGAAAAAAGTTGGCCAATCTTCTAGATAATCAATATACTAATGCACCAATATTAATATAAATTTAGTCTCTGACATTAATATAATTATAATTGATAACACAATGTAACACTATATAATAATTAGAAATATAATGGACGAATTAATAAATTCATATCAATAGACTATATCATGCATAATATGATATAGTATCATAACAATACTAATGTATAATAACATTACATTAGACATAGTATTTAGGTTGAATCATAGGAAATTGCCATTTTGTTAGGCCTCAAACAGTTCAAAATTGGCAACTTCCTGTGAGTCAACCCATGCATACCATCGGAGTGACTGGAGTGGACACCAGCACCACCGCTCTCCCCACATCGACCTCGGACTAGCCCCACATTCTTAGAAAGGGTTCAGCCTGGTCCGCCTGGCGTCCACTATCACGCCTCCACGGTTTGTTACCACGAGTGGCTGCAGGGCCTTGATTTAGCGACTGCATTTTCCCCATGCTGACATTTTACCAGGAACGGCAAAGCGTTGTCTCTAAAACTCATCTTGCTAGAATGATGCCTTCCAGCTTCAGGGACTGGCTTCGACTCCCGGCATGGCATCCCTCTGCATCCTCTCCCCACAGGCTGCCCTTGGGAGCCACTGGAGGCCTGGGTGCCAGGGAGGGTTCCGTGTCAGAGCTTCTCAAAGGTGGCACCGTGGCCCTCTCTCGGGCCAGACAGTTCTCTGTGGGGATGTGAGGGCTGTCCTGAGCCTGCCTTGTAGGATGTCTGGCAGCATCCTTGGCCTTTGCCCACCGGACGCCAGCAGTGTCCCCACTCCCAGAGTTGTGACAACCAACGTCTCCAGATACTGTCAATGTCCCGGGGGTAGGGCGAGGGGGCAGCTCCCCACTCCCCTCTGAGAACCAACACTGTATATTCAGGATGGTGCCCTGGGGTAGTTTCTCTCTCTCAGAATTATTCACGAAATGACAAGGCCAGGACTACAGTCTTTACGTGAGCAAACCCAAAAGACAGCAACAAAACAGAGCAGAGGCACGAATGAAATGTTTCAAAATGTGCACGTCCTCAAATCAACACACAAAATGACTCCAAGCTCAGGATGACAGGTGGCCTGTGCCCTCTTGTGTCCAGGCCGATAGAGAACGTGAAGGAGCAAAGCTGGTTCTGGGAGGAGAGCTACCGGGTTGGGGGTGGGGGGGAAGGGAGGGGTATTAATCTGTTTGTGGACGGCCTGGGCCCTTGGTCAACTTCCTCATATTTCAAGCCTATTATTCCAGCAGGGAGAGCTAGTGTCTGCCTTGCTCTCTCTCTCCTCTCTCTCTCCTCTCTCTCTCCTGCTTTCCCTCCTCCCTCCTCCTCTAGTGATTTTTTTTTATTGCCCTAACACATTTTTAGAAAATGACCTCCTCTGTAAACTTGGGGTGAATGTGAAGAGGGGCCATACTCCTCATCAGAGAAGTAATTGAAGTTTCTAGAAACAAGCGAGATGTGCGGGAATCTCTGTGCTAATGGGGGAAGCAGGAGTCTGACTTTCAAACAAACACCCCTGTCAATCTTTCCTGAGCGAGTCAGACGTGTGGGCAGGGAAACGCCATCAACGGACAGCGCTCGGGCCGCCCTCGCCCTCCCGCGGGCGGCCGCTCCAGCTTGTCCCCAGGCCAGGCTGCACCTCATTCCTCAGGGCTGGTCCTGCCGCTCCCGGGGCCGTGTGTGAGCAAGCTGGGTGCCACTTGTTTTTGCTCCCACGGAGCTGTGACATGTTCAAGAGTTAACAGGAAGCTTGACTCCATCTTGCCAGTAAGATTTATGGAGTGTGGGGAGAAGCCGAGGCAGGAGGAAAAGCAGGAGGCACACACAATCCATTTGTTTTCATCTGATGCAATCCTCCGGACACAAACACTGGACCCGCCCCCTCCTCCTCTTGCTTCACTTGCCCTGAGACGCAAAGGTGAACCCACTGGGAAATGAATGAAAGGTCACCCTGTCGCACGGCGGCGTCTGGACACGCTCAGTCTGTTGTTCCAACGACTGCCCGGTAACCGGTGATGGTACCAAGTTACTGGAATCCCGAGTGAGTCGGGGGTTTGTCACGGACGTAGGAATGGAATGATGCTGTGGTCTCAGCCGTCAGGGGAAATAGGGTTTCACTTGTGGGCAGAATATCTGAATGATCTTAAATACTGCCCTTGAGTCTCCTCCTGTCTACATAGTAACAGCGTCACCATTCAGTTGGTCAAATTACCCCTTTTACAACGGATGATAAAACAACTTAGGCCCTAGCCGGTTTGGCTCAGTGGATAGAGCATTGGCCTGTGAACCGCAGGGTTCCGGGTTCAATTCCGGTCCAGGTCATGTACCTCGGTTGTAGGCTGTTCCCCAGCCCGGGCCCTGGTCGGGGCTCTTGCAGGAGGCAACCAATCCATGTGTTTCTCTCACATCGATGTTTCTCTCTGTCTTTCCCTCTCTCTTCCACTCTCTCTAAAATCAATGGAAAAATGTCCTTGGGTGAGGGTTAAAAAATATAAATAAAAAAAACCCCAACAACTTGGGCCCTTTAGATATGCTCAGATTCAAATGATCTATTCAAATATTTGTTTTCAATTTGATGTCCAGTTTGATACCGCCTACCAGGCCTCACCAGTTACACCCCTGGGGGGTGGGGGCAGCTCATTTGCCCTCTGGCTGGCCTGGTGCCCCCTAGTCAACTCCAGCGTGGGCGGAGGGGCAGACCCTGTGAGCACAGGGGCTTTGAAGGAGCAGGAAATCTGGGGATTAGGAGGGGCAGGTATTTTCGTTGGAAATGTTGCCCCACTGATGGGGCTAAAGATTTGCCGTGACAGCTCGAGTTCTCATCCTGCAGTTTTCGGGGATGAAAGCGGCCCCATGCCAGGCCCCGCCCCCTGCCCCACAGGATTAAACAGCCTGAGCAGATAATGGCTGCCTTCAAGGGAGCTTTCTCATGACTCAGAAAAATGCATGCCGTCTGTCGCCTGGGTTGGCAGCTAAACATTAACTTCTTTTAAAAAAAGCAGAAGGAAAAATGCAAAGAAAACCTCCGGATGACAACTCTTCTCAGACAAGGTGTGGAGTCTGTCTGCAGAGGAGAGAGAGAGGCAGACAGAGTGCAAGTCCCGTGCAGAAGGCAGCCCAGGTGGGGCTGGGGGGCAGGACAGCGCAGAGCTGGGGGCGGGGCGAAAGGGAAAGGCAGGCCAGGGCAGGGCTGGGCTCTAAAGCTGGGGCCAAGAGGCCACTTCTGTGTCTCACCCCCGCCCCCCCAGGCCCCCCAGCCCCGCCCCCCCAGGCCCAGCCCCGGCCCCAGCCCCAGCCCCGGCCCCAGCACAGGACCCACTTTCAGGCCGGGCTCAGCCCTGCTCGAGGGGGAGATCTGCTAGTGAAAAGCATCTCCCATGCTGCTCTCTGCGATTCTCACTGCTCCTCCCTCCACGTCAGCAAAGGGCCATCGGGTGCAGAAATGGGACCTGGTTTGTACCCACTGCACACCCTCAGGCCATGACGCATCCTTCCACACTCGGGGGTGCCTGAAGCTGGGTTTGGGGGTGCTCACAGTACTCATTTTTTTTAAATCACCCTTATGCTTGATCACGGTCAGTTGGAGCTCTTGGCCCCTACGGTCCTTGGACTATAAGATGCCGACCAGGTCAAAAGACGTAATGAATTCCCAGGGACAGACCCCAAACAGGGCCCTTGCCCTGGAGAGCAGCGCCCCGAGCAGAAGCAGTGAGACTTGACAAGGGCCTCGGGAACAGGCCTTCTAAACCACAAGCCGAGCAGCCGTCCTCATGCCTGCGCTACTTCCTCACCGCCGGAGCCCGTGGGTGCCAGGAAGATGTTGGCACCCATGGCCGGAAGCAGGTGAAAACTGGACAAGTCGGCGGCTTCCCTACGGCACGCCAGCTCCCAAGGAACGCGAAGGCCCTGTTCTCACCTGGGGGTGGTGTGGAGACATCCGGCAAGGTCTGGGGACATTCTGTGGTTGTTCCCATGGAGAGGCGGGGGCTACTGGAACCCAGAGGCCAGAGGCGCTGCTAAGCACCTGCATTTCATGGACGGCCCCCCAACCAAGAGCTGCCTGGTCCCCAATGCCATCGGTGCCCCCGTTGAGAAGCTCTGAGAAGAGGCTAAAGCACCTGGTGAACCCCAAGCAACCCCAACTGTCTGGACAGCACGACACTGGGCCGCCCTGGAGATGCCGGACATGCGGCCCTTGCTTTTGCTCGCCCCTCGCCTGCCCTAACTGATCCCGAGGAGGGAAGAGCCACGCAGCCGCCGGCCCCGGGCGGGAAGTGCGTGTGCAGCCGTCGGAGGCCGAGGTCCCAGAGCCGTTGTCACAGCCCCGCCCAGCTCCCACGTCACAGCCCACGGAGGCTTTCTCCTTTTGCTCTCAGCAAAGGGATGTTTCTCTGCAGCTCCGAGTTCCCTGCCCACGAGCAAAGATGAGCGCCAAGCCTGGAGGTCCCGCGGTGAAATGCCTAATATTTGTGAGCTGGTGCTAACGGCAATGCGCGAACCCCGCCACCCGGGCTTTCCACGGGGCCTCCGGCCTGGTCTGAGCAGCTCCTAGTGGAACTGTCTCCCTTGGGGCGTATTCGCTTGCTTCCCATCCCACGGGGACCCCAGGGTGCTGGTCACACGTGACCTGTGAAAGCTGGTCACGTGACCCATCCCAGCTGCGTTCCGCAGGCCGACTTCTTCCTTCTATAGTATGATTACCCCTCCAGCTGCCACCTTTGCTTGTGGAACGTGAGCCACCCCACCACGCCCCAGGTGTCCACTTCTCCAGGCCACCCCTGCCGCTGGACAGCCCTGTCTTTAAACCACATCTGAGCCCATGAAAAGTGACGCCTCCCGCTCCACGCATCTCCTCTGAGCCCATGAAAAGTGACGCCTCCCGCTCCACACATCTCCTCTGGTCCCACGACCTCCCACTCCGTGACCTCCCACTCCGCGACCTCCCTCGCTTTCAGAGGGTGTCTCCGGGCCGCTTACTTGAGAGCCGGCTGGAAATCTCCGCGGAGAGGGTCGTCATGCCGCTGGCCCGGCCCGGCGAGATGGGCGTCGCTGGGTGCACGGAGGGAGAGGCGATCGAGCCCAGGTACTGGTAGGACTGGTCGTAGGACCAGGGCGGGGAGGGCTGGATCTGCCTGGTGTCTGCGGAGAATCGGGAGGTCAGTGACAGGTAGAGTGGGAGGGATTAAAAAAAAGTCTTTTAATAAGAAACCAGTTTCCTTTGTCTCAGTATGTCACACGTGTGTGGCCTCTCTGCCAGTGTCCCGTAAGCTCACTTAAGTCCAAGCATTTGCTTTCGTTTGGCCCTTTCTCCCCCCAAAATACTGAAATGTAGTTTATGTTTGGTTCTTGAAGGTTTCCCTCTGCTAACTCCCTCCACAGGCTTTATTTCATCACTAGAGGCCCGGTGCACGGATTCGTGCACCAGTGGGGTCCCTCGGCCTGGCCTGCGGGGATCAGGCCGAAACCAGCTCTCCGACATCCCCTGAGGGGTCCCCGATTGTGAGAGGGTGGTTCTAGGGTAACGCACCCCAGAATCGGGCTCCCTCCTCTCTGATTCTGGGTGTGTCACCTGAGAACCACAGCTGCCAAGTCACTGCAGCTCGGCAGCTCCTGTGTTGAGCATCTGCCCCTTGGTCATAGCTACTGGTTGGATGGTCGAGTGGTCGGACGGTCGCTTACACTTTTATATATAGAGATGAGAATAATGATGAGGAAGATTTCCCAGTGCAGTGTTTTTTGTTTTTTTAAAATATATTTTTATTTTAAAATAAAAAAGAGAGAGGGAGGCAGAGACAGAAACATCAATGATGAGAGAGAATCATTGATTGGCTACCTCCTGCACGTCCCCCACTGGAGATTGAGCCCACACCTGGGCATGTGTCCTTGACCAGGAATCGAACTGTGACCTCCTGGTTCACAGGTGGACGCTCAACCACTGAGCCACGCTGGCCAGACCAGGTGGAGTGTTAACGTTCAAACTGTCAAGCTGCTCCTAGTGACTGTGCAGACATTTCAGCGTCACCAATAATCACATGACCACCATCAGAAACGTTTCCCAACTCAGTGGCCACCTGTCTGTACTTAGAGAGCAAAAAAGAACGTAAAGTGTTTTGTTTTTCTTTTTGTACCTTTGGCAGTAAGAACCCACAGGGTCTGAAATGCTTTCTGTTTAGGGGAATTTTCTGCCAAGGCCAATGGAAAAGCAGGCCCGGCCGGGCAGCTGGCCCTGCGGCCCGATGACGTTCGCAAACCCAGCCCCGGAGCTGGCTCCGTCACCCGACACCGAGGGGTCCTGCCTCTTCCCGGGGCAGAGTGTGGGCAAGGACGTTCTAGGCTGCCAGGAAAGAGGCCCAGGACAGCGACGAGACCAGAGTCGGCTTCGGAAGGTTTAGGTGAAAAGGATTTTGTAAACTGGACTCCAGCGTTCCCAGGAGTCTGTTCCCCAAAGCATCATGCTGTTTGCAGGTGAAAAGGTGGAGCAAAACAAAACCCCTCTATTTTCAGGCAAAATATGTAAAAAAATGCAGATTGGACATTGCCCCATCAGAAGCCGGCTTTACATTTCTTTAGGTCAAACATGAACGTTCTCTGTGTCCCACCTTTTTTGTGGACAGAGGGCACAGCAGACTACACCACCTGGGCCCCAGCCGGGGCTCTGCACGCTGGGCGTCACTCTAGAGAGCAAGCCGCCCAGGAACAGAGCAGGTGTGAGTGTTGTCCGCGCTGCGACGTAGACGTGCGTTATTCCCCCGGCGATGCCATATCCCCACCTGCTCCACAGGGGCTTCCCGGCTCCCAGAAGGGCCTCTCTGCTCAGCTCCCCAACGTTGTATCGTGGGCAGCGCACCAGGCACCTGGAGCCCCAGCCAGTCTCCCTTCCCATTCTTCTCCCCACAGCCCCCCACCCTTCCCTCCGACGGATCCATTTCTTTCAATCTTCTTTTATTTTTATCCTCACCCAAGGATATTTTTCCATTGATTTTTAGAGAGAGGGAAGAGAGAGGGAAAGACAGAAAGAATCACTGATGTGAGAGAAACACATCGATGGTTTGCCTCCTGTACGGGCTCTGACCAGGGCCCGGGCCGGGGAGGAGCCTGTATCCGAGGTACCTGCCCTTGACCGGATTCGAACCCGGGACCCTTCAGTCCGCAGGCCGACGCTCTATCCACTGAGCCACACCGGCCAGGGCATCTTTTCTTTTCTTAAATAACTGAATTATTAAGTTTGAAAAACCTGGGCAGCTATCTTAACTGAGAATCTTTGAATCTAATTGTGAAGTCGGGTTTTCTTGGGCTGCTGAATTTTAGAGAATTCGAGGAGCTGCAAGGAGTGAGAGAGAGAGACCCATTTGAAACTCAGGGGCGAATACACGGGCAACCAAAGATGTCAGACAACCTCGCAGCTCACAGCGTTCCCAACCACGGACAGCAGACAGCGACCAGCAGGCTGCTCAGGGTTCCCACAGCGCTGCACGCATTTTGCTCCCGGGGGGGAAAACGCAGGCTCAGCTCTCCTGTGAGACGCATGTGTCCTCGCTGCCACCCTCGCCGAGCGGATCGGCAGCGCTCAGATATCTGAATCACTTACCGAGCGAACAAAAGGCGTTTTGTAATCGTCACTAAGCCCCCAGGCTGCGGATTGCGGCGGCGGCGCAGGCCGGGGCAGACAGCCCAGCACCAGCCCGTGTCTGAGGCCGCGGCAAGCACACGTACCAGCCCGGGATGCGTGCTCCGTCATGTTTTCCTGGAGCGGGAGCGACGTGCGAGGCTCCTCTGAACTCGTAATTAAGCCGCGAGCCTTGCCCATGTTTCACAGCCTCTTAACAATACGCTTTGGGAAAACGATCTTTATGATTAAAGTTTACGTTCTATGATTTTTCTGAACACAGGGTTTCAGACTCAACGTCTTCTCCCTTCTCACCCCAACTCAGCCCCCGCCCCCGTGTCAGAGGGGAGACAGCACTGAGCACCCAGGGGACCCCTCCCGGGATCTGTGTCCGCCCCTGTGGCCGCGGCAGCGGCTTCACTGCCTGGGGGGGCCAGAAGGTGGTGGTGGCGAGCTGTTCACTTCCCGTGTGGGAGTTTCCTTCTACGTTATTGTTAATAAAAAGCCGAAACCAAAATGAAAACAGAAAACGAAGGGCCGAGAATATGGGGAATGTGAGTGCATGACTCAGGTACCCTCCCTGCTCGGACGGGGCCAACACGAACACGTGAACGCACGTGTAGACATGGCAGTGCTGTGGGCCACCCGAACCCCGGGCTGAGCGTCGGGAGAAGTGGCGTGTGGTGACCCCGGGCCACCTGCTCACACATTGTTTTTTTAAAAATATATTTTTATCGACTCCAGAGAGAAAGGGAGAGGGAGAGAGAGAGAAACATCAATGATGACAGAGAATCATTGATTGTCTGCCTCCTGCACACCCCCTACTGGGAATCGAGCCTGCAACTGGGGCCTGTGCCCTGACCGGGAATTGAACCGTGACCTCCTGGTTCATAGGTCAATGCTCAACCACTGAGCCACGTGGCCGGGCATCACTTTCTTACTCTCACCTGTGCCAGGAGTTAGGGGAGGAGAGGTGGAGGTGTGGTGCGCGGTGGCGCTGTGATCATAACCGTGTGCGCTCTGGGAAGCGGGAGGAGGCAGGGTGAGACGGGGGCGCCCAGGAAAGAAGCGAGCCTGTCAGTCATTCCCCGAGAGCAGGGCTGCCTGTCCCCGAGGGACCGCCTCTCATAAGACCACCCTCAGCTGGACCAAAGTGCACTGAAGATTTGCTCTGCGCTGGGCACGTGCAGGACCTATAGGGTCCCTGTCCCACTGGAGCTCACAGCCTGTCTTAGTGACCATGTCAGGGCCGTCGGATGCTTGGAAAGGCTGCTTCCTTAATGCATCATGCTGAGAGTTGCTTCATTCATTCATTCATTCATTCATTCATAGGGTCATGAAGTGATTCACTTCCTCATTCCTTCATGTTGCTAACAAACATTTTGCTCCACTAGGGTTACTGACGTGGGGACTCCGTGGTGAATGGACACAGGCCTTGCCTCCAGGAGTGGTGGCTGGGGACCTGCAGGCTGTACCCAGGAGAACTGCTGGGTTATCTGCTTCACCTGGACTTGCAAACAGCTGTTCCCACGTCAGAGATAAGAGCCCCAGCGGTATTTACTGCATGCTTAAGGTCTTCTCCTGAGAGGAGCAAATTAAGGAAAGCATCTATGTAAGCCACACAAAGATTTCCGCTTGAGCCCGGCCTTCACCATACACCAGTTATGACCTTGGGAGGGTCACCTGTTTCTCCCTTACACAGTCTCCTACTTCCAAGGCTAATAGTGAGATGAGTGAGATGAGGCATATGAAGCAAGCGTTGCAGTTTGGGGCCACAGTAAACTCACAGTAAGTCTAATTCTTGAGTTAGGATGTGACTGAAAGGAAGGAACCCGCGCCCAGGGACTTGCCAGATGTTTGTGTGTGAGGCCACAGCCCCACTCCGGGACGAGGCTCAGGTAGCACTAACTGTTCACTGACCAAGACTCAGGAGATGATGGTGAAGAGCCAGGAAAACTGGAGGCTTGGGGTGAGGATAGAGAAGGCGAGGATCCATGTTCCCATGAAAAACCACGGGACTTGGGAGTTTAAGCGAGTCTCCTGCATCTGCTTTTTCTAGGGCACACGGTGTCAGTGCAGCCGCTTCAGAGGCCTTTTTGTGACGGTTATTTCCAGCTTTTTGATGCCCAAATAATGGGCAGAACAGAGCTCCCTCTCCACGCCATGATCCCTACTTCCTCCCAGTGGAAATGAGGTCAAAACGGGGGGGGGGGGGCGAGAGATAGGAGTAAGGTAGGGTGAGGTGAGGGCTGAGCTCAGAGGTATCCATGGCCCACATCGGTAGGAAGAAACTAGAGCAGGGGTCCTCAAACTACAGCCCGCGGGACATATGCAAATACAAATATTGTATTTGTTCCCGTTTTGTTTTTTTACTTCAAAATAAGATATGTGCAGTGTGCATAGGAATTTGTTCATAGTTTTTTTTTTTAAACTATAGTCCGGCCCTCCAATGGTCTGAGGGACAGTAAACTGGCCCCCTGTTTAAAAAGTTTGAGGACCCCTGAACTAGAGGGCTTTAGCTGTGGACAACACA